CAGTATTTTACTAAAGTAATTTGGGTTTCTATTATTCTAAATTCCCAAAACCGATATTCGTTTTGTAAGCTACGGATTTTTTTTAGAGAGTAGTTCAACAGCGTATGATTTTAAAAAGTTTTTATCACCGTATTAGTCCTATAAGTTTGTTGATATCGTAGTACTATACTATAGAATCTGCTCTACAAGCTAGTATGTCAGAAAAACTTAAGATTATTTTAGGACAGAAGGTATAAATGTTTTATTGGTCAGCTAGACACAACATTCTAGTTTAATTATACCTGCTTATTTTCTTTAAATAGTCGTATATTTTGACCTAAAGATACTATAAAAGTTTTGAATGTACCATTTTGTAAGACAGACTCTGTAATATAGTTCTACAGCATCAGAAAATCTGTAAAATTAATACTTTTGGAAAGAGAATTCTTTTTATAAGTATAAGTACACACCTGCTGTTGTTTAACTAATGTACCCCTAGAAAGGATAGGATATTCATGAAATCAGGAAAAGATAAAATATAAATAACCATTATTGTTAGTATCACTACACATATTATTCTTACACGTACACATTTAACATTTTATGTTAGCAGGTATTTGTTCAAGTGAGTCAGATAATTTTTTAAATTACAACTTTCCTTTTACAAGGGATCATTTTTAGACACATGTAAGTTATATACTATATCCAAAGTTTCTCCTTTCTGAATTTTTTTCTATATGTTTGTCGTTTTGCTACCCATGTAAATCTACTGCGTCTAAAACGACGCGTTTTGGCGCGTTTGTTTTGGAATAGAGTCTGAACGCGTTTTTTTCAGAAAAACTTTCTTAAACGCGTTACGATACGACGCATTTAGACGTGTCTAGCACAATCGATTGATGAATCTGAAGCATTTGCAGCACCGCTAGTTTAGACAAGTAGACTATATCATTGATCTCAGTGTGTAGAGCCACACTGCGGAAAAAAAGTGCCTTTTGGTGAAGTTCAGGGCACATGGAAGTGCCCTGTTTTTTGTTTTCACGTTGACTGCGGCCCACTTAGCGCACTTTCATGTACCCTAAGCCTCACCAAAGTACACTGTTTTTTTCCACAGTGCAGACGGTTACTTCTCAGTGTGTACTTTACACACCTACGCCATGTATTCTAGATGGTTACTAGAAATCGACTTGGCGTTCACTTTATGTGTGCCATATATACACCTTATTTTACTGGCTGATGTAGGTGTAATTCTGGTCCGATTCGGCAGAACTAGAATTGAAATTCTACGAGAATTCACCCAGATTCTAAACAGAACCTTAGTAACAGCATATCTTTGAATGTGTCAAACTTTGCCAATTCTAAGAATTTCCATGGATTTTTTAGAACTGGACACTGCTGGACGACTTGCACAAATTTAGTCGAAGGATATTTCTATAAGAAACTAGTACAACAGTTATAAGACTTTTTAGTACGTTCTTACCGACTCTTCTTAGAATCTTACCAGATTCATATCAATCTCTTGCAAAATTCTTACCATTTTCGTGCGAGCTTCTCAAATAAGAATCGACTTCTGTTAGTAGACTTTGAAAAGCACACTTTACTCCGGAAAGCAACTCGTTTTACAAGATTCTACAATCTTCCTTTCTAACGTTATATAATAAATAAAAAGAGGATAAATCGTAACGCCTAATTTTCAGTCTTTTCTTGAAAATCCTATAACTTCTGCTGATGCTGTTTTTATGACTGATGATTTGAATATACACTGTACACAACTGTATGATTAGAAAATAACAACTACAACGGGAGAAAATGGTATAACTTTTTTGAGTTTCAAATAATGTAGTTACACACGAAAAGATAAAGATCAATCATATGGATTTTAAGAAAAGTACATTCATTTTTCGAATAATAAAAAATTAGAATTATAACACTGCAGACAACAATGAAGATGTACGTATATCAGCTCAAGATAAATTTAATCAGAAAATCTATATGACACAGAAAAAATCAAAAAGTACAGAAATATCTAGAATAGTTTATAACACGAAAAAAATCCTTTTTCAATCATCACCGTAAGTGAGTGTTTTCACCCAAAAATGAGTTTTGACTACCACTACTATGTTAAAGATATTTTTTTCTGATATTGAAAATATTCTTGGCTGTTTGAATTCGACTAACCTCGTAGTCACGATGCTGCTCCAGAATAATCAGAGAAGCATCTTTCGTCATTCACATTTCCGTTTCAACAAATAGTCACATTATATTTTCCTCATTACTGACGTTTTAAATATTATCAAGTTTTCCGATCTTTCAGCTTTTCACACTGTAAAAGTTTTAAGTGTGCCCGGGGCACATTGAATGTGCACATCACGTTGGATTGTTTTTACACATTGAAAACGGCTTATTCAGTGTGCCTGTAATACATTGGAATTGCACATATAACTTCCACAGACAGAACGAGAAAAACACCGGAGAGAAGATCAAATTTAATGTAAAAATTCTCTCGCAATGCTTATTTATTTTGTAATCCTGGGAGATCTTTTTAAGTATTTACATTATAGTTTTAATAAGCGGTTCTCTCACTGTATAAGAGTGTAATGGTCTTGTGTTACGGTAGCTTTGGGTTTTTAGATTAAATTTATATGTTTATAGCCTTAAAAATGTCAATCAATTCTTGGCAGGTAGCTGTGACTGCTAACGAATACGTACTTGCATCGTTATTGAGGAATCATTCACTTAAGGGCTTTTCGGGGATACAGGTATCGTAGTGCCAGATGGATGACAATCAATCAAAACACGTCGATGATTGTGTTCTCGTATAGAAAAAGAAAAGAAAATATATACAGAACAAAAATATGGGAATCCTACAAAATCCTACACAAAATCTTACTGTAGGATTTTGTAATAAATGCATAACATTCCTATTATTGGAATCCGATAGGATTTTTGCTACTATTCTATAACAAGAATCCCATAGAATTCCTACCGTGGGATTTCGTAAAATTTCATAGGACTCTACAATAGAAATCTTATTACCAGTAGTATCTCGTAAGATAGAATTGTTGACCTAGAATTACTCGATAATAGTACTACGTTAATATTACTTTCGTGCATAAATCTATATATGACCAATACTAATGTGCTACACCTAGCTCTAAACAATTAAATCAAAAATACGGTCACAATGAATTGAATACAAAATTTAATTAGGTGCTGGAAATTCGAATGAAAGATAAAACTCTTTTTTTCGTTTTTTCTACATGGTTGGATAGAGCGCATCGCAATGAGTGAGAAAAATCACTTTTTAGATTTCGGAAATGGTTTCTTTAGAGTTTTTCAGTACATTATCAAAAAGAATTACTGTTCAATTTCTGCGAGACATTTCCTCAACAATACAGCGTTTAACAGGAATCACCGACTCTTCCGCGAATCGTTAATAGTGTATTCTTCTCGCTTTTTCTGTATTTTTTCTTTGAGTACAAGAGAAACTGATATGTAACTCCTTATCTCTAATAAAAACTGGATCGAAATTATTAGGTGTACACAGCTGACTCGCTGCTATCTTGATTGTATCTCTTATATAACTACAGTAACTTCTTAAGTGACACGACTCTTCCGCAAATTTTTGTAAATAGATGCTAAGAAAACTAACAAAAATAAAACCGGTTTCACTGGACATAGTCGTTAAAAAAATTTTAAAAGAGCTTCAGCTTAAAATCCTGATCGAAATTTTCGCAAGGGTGGATTTTTTCCAAAAAACTCATTATTTTCACAATACGGAAAACTTTTCACTTTGTACTTGTTTTTGGATTTTGAAACATTTTTTTCGGATTTAGCGTCCAACACTCAGTATAGAAATGATGTTTAATCAATTTCAATAAAAAGCGTTCATTGACCGTGCGCCCTAGAATTTCGTCCATTCGACAATGTCGAATCGACATGCATATCAAGCATTTTGTAAACCTATCTATTTTTTTGCTTAAGAGATAAAGTTAGTTATTTTATCTCATTCGATTCATCGTACCATCCGTCAGCAAAGAATGCATTGCTTTTGTTTTCTTGTCATTGCTGAGAAAACTTTTCCCCCAAAACGGTAGTTCCTTTTATTCATGTCCCAGTACAAACGAGGTTTAAAACGCTAAATATGTCGTCACTCTAGTGTGTACAGAGAAGCGAATAAACAGATAAAGAATCAACTATTTTTGTGCTTTTATGGCGATTCGCGATGGCGTTACAGATTCTCTCTTAACCACAATCAGAACTTTGTCAGAATACTACTGCTGATGATTTCTATCTTGTTCTCTCAAGAAGTGAAGTATAACTGTCTCTATATATTAATATAATGAAGAATTAACAAATTGCGAGAAATTTTTGAATGCGTTGATTATATGTGTCCGCGACGTACATATTTCCATCGGAATCGAATGCTACTGCATTTGGATAGTTCAACTGGTTGGAATCGCTCCCTGCTCCGTTTCCACCCGCCACCGTTATAGCGTTTATTCTACCTGGAGACAATTTCTGAATACGATTATTTTGCCTGTCGGCTACAAATATACTACCATCGTTAGTCACTGTGACATAAGCAGGCTCCCAAAGCTGATTAACGTTATCGCTACCTCCATTACCACCGCCAACGACAACCCCCACCGTCGCATTATTACTCCATTCCACTAAACGGTCGTTATAAATATCTGTTATGTATATATTCTTATTTTTGTCCACGAATATACCAGCCGGATTATTCAGCTGGTTCAAATTACTGCCAACTCCATTGCCCCCAGCTACAGTGGTTCCGTTCTCGCTCCAAGTGGTTGGAACACACACTGTAGCTGTCGACTTCAAACAGAGGCCCAGAAGTGTACCAAAAACAGCTGCATTCAGCACTGACGCAAGCAGAAAGCCAATAAAGCCATATTTGAAGGGCTGCGAGCAAATGAATCTAAACAAAGATCGCGTATTGCAGCTGAAAAGTATCCTAATCGATGACTATAAATTACTTTCGAATCGCCGTTGTGCCTCTTGTCACACAACTATTCTGTGATAACGGGGATTTCTGACCTTTGTCTAAGCTACTCTGTGCATCTGATCTTACTGAAAATGTCGACCATGCCCTTAGTGGTTTAACAAACTTTGATCCGTGCTGTACAATATATTCTGGCTTAAAATTATAATTGACAACATTTCCAGCAGATTTTGTAGCTAACCACTGACGTTCCAAAAAACTTGCAGTTGCAGACATTTTTTAGAGAGAAAAGAACGAAGGAAACGCTGTTTTCGTAAAATCAATGGTTATTGCTGACATTTTTCAGTTACAGAAATTTGTCATTGACAATTTATTTCAAAAATTCAATTATGTACATGTATAGATTGATGTATCAACACATACGAAATAAAGTTATTAGAACTTATTCGGTTTCTATTTTAAATTAAAAGAAATGTGAAGGACTGAATGTAAAACAAATCAAAATTTCATTACAACATTTTAATTCTTACAGCAGAAAAAAAAGTATAGAAATCGTTCGATAATCAACAATTTTTCCTTCAATTTTGTCGTTTTTTGGTTGAAAGTGGCAAGTATCCTACATAATTCGATAGATCTCACCAAGATAAATCTGATGCTACACATAGCCAACCCCAGATTTGCACGTACACCTGTCAATATGTCTTTAAAAACTTTTTCGAGTGGCTTGTAATTTTTTTCAATAAGTATCGAAAGATGCACTTCATAAAGTGAATTATTTAATAGGTTTCTTAAAACAAAACACTAGTATCCGGATCAGCAGCAGCAACTTACTGATCGAGATCTCGCTGTTTTACATGGTACAAAGCATAATTTGAAACATCGATAAGTTACAGGTAGAATCTTAGTAAATGCAACTTAACTTTAAGTCTTCTTACCCATGTCCTGAGAGTATAGTATTAACAGACGTTTGTCGACCACATCAAATTACATGGCATCACTGGTCGATAAATTCAACACTTATGAAACAACATTCATATCAAGTTCTTTTATGGTTTCCGACAAATCACGGTGTACAACATATCGAATTTTTTTCAATATATCGATTAAATCGAATGTATCCAAGGTGACCTAAGATTCAGTCGATTAGCACAAGGATGAACAAAAAAATAAGGTCCCTAGACTATAGGATCCTGTAGATCTTAACACTAAGATTCCTATAGAAACCCGTTAAGATCCGTCCAAGATCCCATATTTTCTTGTTAGGATCCTAGCAAGTTCTATGACCTTCGGATATTTCAGATTTTATTAGGATCCTAAAAAACGTAAGTGAAGTTCTGCTAGGATTCTGGTAGGATATGTCTAGGATCCTTGGACGAAATTCATACATGTCTTAATAGTGGCCTGATCGATGTATCTGATTTTGCTTTTTGATACATTCAGTTGCTTGTATGACATATGTTAAGTAGTCCTTTGTCTTCGTTTCGTTCTTCTTTTTTACATCATATGTTATGCTATAAGATCATATGTTTATTGTGACCTTTCTCTTCTTCTCTGTTCTACTGACGTCATTAGTTCGGCCAGTAGTAAAGGACATATTCTTTCCTATTCTTCTGCGTACATCATGACCTAACGATGTCATGTTCTGAACAGTTCTTCTGACGTCATTAGATCCTTCTCTAATCCTTTCTCGGACTTTCGGTGATATGTATATATAGTTGTATTTTTCCGAATGTATAACATAGTAATTTGTTACTGAATCAAGTGAACAAGTTAGAAAATTAATCAAGATAGTTTTACTACTTAACACATATTCACTAAATAAGTGCCGATGATTACAAAATCCGGACAGTTGACAAATGGTGTCAATAATGGATTGTACTCCTACATAGAACACTAACAGGTTCCTCACAGCTATAGTAGATGTGAAACTAACTGCAACAGTTAAATTGTCGTTGAGTTGATATTTGAGATCTGTAATGCCATGTTTTGCAACAAACTTTAAGGTAGAACATGAGCATTTATTACGAATAATAAAGCATTCTTCATAACCGATTAATTAACAAACGTAACCACCCCTGTGTTGTTCCATTCACAAGAAAAATGAGTGGAGGAAAAGGGAATACTCGGTCACCAAGCAGTTTAGCGTAAGCCGGATGATCGTACGGTCTCACTTTACGATTACCTTCAACGAGCAAGATAAAGCGAGTAGGCGAGAAAGGAGATTAAATACTCATATGTTGAAATGTTGCATCGGCATCAAAAACAGTGGATAAGGTTTTCCGAAGACACAGAGGCACAGGCGAATACGATAAACGTGCCGCAACTAAATCGATAAAAAATTACAATATGCCTAAATAGCAGCTTGGATTTCAAAGCCCCATCTATCCTCGAGATTCGATGGTAGTAACTAAGTAAACGGTATTTATCGATTTATAAACGTTTATTTACAAATTTTTGATTTATAAATGAGTTTATAAACTACCGTATTTCGGATGCTTCAGTGGTTGGTAGACTCGTAGATGTCCATACTCGATCTGTACACATATTCATTCACTTATAGCGAAAATAGGAAATTATATATTTACATATGAATCTGTTGTTTTTCTGTCCTTCTGCTTTATGTGAACTGTAGACAAAGTTGTTTCTCTTCGTGTCTAGTAGAAGAATAGTGACTTTTCGCTTCTCAACACGAAAGTTAACACTACACTTGAAGAGCGTCCTTCGTCTGTCAGATGCTCCAGGAGTTATGATTACTAGGATAAATCACTAATAGTAACCTCACTAACACTAACCTGCTAATCACTAACAGATCTATTTCTTACAAGCACGATGCGACAAAACCGGTGCTTATACATTTAAAGGAACTAAGACATCATTTCTTAAAATGAGTGATCCCTGATGAAAGAGTTTACGGCCGGACCCTAAATTAAGCACCCGTCTCCCCCCCTCGTTAGAAACATAAATTTTTTTATAAAAAGTCGATATTGAGCTAAGCACATCATCAGATAGCCCACAGTACCTACTATCAGGATCCAATGTTATTTGGTCCTCATCGAAGGGGTATGGAGATTTTTAGAAAAGTTTTCTAAAAATCCTGAAAAGCTGGATTTCGAAAAAGTTTTACTTTCCAATTAAAACGCAAATCTAAAACTACTTTTAGTAACACCAGGAAATAGACCAAAAACACTTCCGATCAGAATGAGATATTCCCCAGCTCTGAATGATGTTCTGATCAAGAGTTATGAAAGTTTTGCTGGAAGCCTTAAAACATGCATTGGATACTGACGCCACCATATCTCGAAAGTGACTTTCGCCTTAACACCATTTCGTAGCTCCAAGATTTCTCGGTAACGAAACATCGGAGAAGTCTCGGGAAGGTCTTAAATTGAAGCTGACACATGTGGCTAGAGGCTAATAGAGCCCAATTTTGGATATTCAGTCCAGATTTGTGATTAGAAAAGCATCATTACGCAAGTTAATGAGACTTTTTTCGAATTTTGGACTTTTACCGCGGACCATTAATTTGAAAAGTGAAATATCGAAAATCTGGCTCTATCAGCCTCTAGCCACATGTGTTTTCGTCAGCTTAAAACCAGCCCGAGCTCTTCACCACGTTTCATTACTGAGAAATCTTGGAGCTACGAACTTTCTTTGGAAAAAATTTCTTTGGACTGAACCGTAAAGACAACTAATGTTTAAACTAAACGGCGATAGAGTTCATCAAAAGCGTTTAACACGTTGACTGCCAATGCATCACTGGTGATATATTTGGCTTTATTTTTCTTTTTACTCTGGCAGTCAACGTGTTGAGGAATCATTGAAAAATATGGTAAAAATTCAAACCATTTCTAAACTTTTTTCTTAAAAAAAGACATTTCACGATGTCTTATATCGAACGGCAAAAACACTGAATGTGCATCTTTTGCTGCTCAAAAGCTAGTAAAAAGACGCACAAGTCAATTATATTTTAGACTGGATAGCAGTTTAGATCGATTTACTAAGATTGAATTTAGCAGCACGGCCAGATAACTCTGCTACCGGAGTGAAATTCCGGGACGAAATTTTGACATTGTGTTGTGTTTATATTTTTTTAAAGAAAGCACATGTAGTGCTGTGAAACGTCTAGAATTGTAAAGCAAACGTTTCTCTACAAAATGAGGCGTCTCGGAGTTCTATGCGTTTCTTTGTTTAAACAATAAATGGTAAAAAATACTAAATGTTACTTTTCCAAAATGATGCTTGAGAAGGAAGTTTTGTATTTTCCTTTTAGTTTTTAAACAAAATACAGAGCCTCGAAACGCTTCATTTTGTAAAGAAACGTTTGCTTTACAATTCTGGATGTTCCACAGCACTGTGCATACTTTTGTTAAAAAAATATAAACACAACAAAATGTCAAAATTTCGTCACGGAATTTTACTCTGGTAGCAGAGTTCTTTGGTCGTGTCGTCAAACGGAAAAGCTTATTTCAACGGTGTATGCGTTCATTCTGTTTAAAAATAAAGAATGGTTAAAACACGTCATTTCCATCTTAGGTCTTTTAAAAACGCCTCCAATGACCGCTCACGGTGTCGTGAACATCAGTGAGATCTCTGTAATATGACCACCATATTTCTGACATGTTTTAAGTATCAAAGGCACAAGTGACCGTTTAAGCATGAAACCGATCATTATATCAGGATAAAGCTCTATGAAATCTAAAAGCGTTAAATAGTGATTCTTTAGATGTAAGTAACAATTCACATTCGAATATGCTCTTTCCAATGGTGAGATTTCAAGAACACAAAAATAATTTTCTATGGGTTTTTACAGAGATCCGCTCTCGAGAAAACCCACAAGAAATATTTTTGCATTTCGAAAACCTCAGCATTGGAAAGAGCGTATTTGAAAACCTATCAAGAAAAGTGTTTCTAGACTTTTGCACTATTGCTAAAACAAATATCCAGATTTCCCGGCAAAATGTGCTGTGAGGAGGCTTTCAACTCTATAATTCAGTTTGATCAAAAATTTTCTGCAGAAAATTAAAGAAGCTATACGTCAGTCGATGTAGATTTTTGCGCTGATTCCGAATATGTCATTTTTATTGAATAAAAATGTTTCTGAACCAAGAAAAATGGAAAATAAGTGAAATACCAAGGGTTTTTGGAAAACCTGCTGTATGCTTCAGAAGCATTTGCGCATTAACCATATATGCAAGACATACAGAGGAACATTTTGGCAAATTTTGAACGATTTTCGAACTGGGATGTGTGCTCATTTTATTGAAACCAGCCATTGGGAAAACCACGTAAGAAAATCTTTTATTTTTGTCAACAATCTCCAGCTCAAACTAAGAACTTTTTACTGATATATACTAAATGATATGGAGATTCTGAAGTTTCATTTGTATTTGCTTACCACATTAGTCATTTTTGTGTTAAATTAAAGTTTCCTGCCAATGACGTTATTTTCAGGCTAATTTTAAATTAGACGATTTTCTACTCCACTTGAACTTTGTAGCAAAAATTTTAATGCTATTAAATAGCCCATAGTTCGAAGTACATGTAGCACTATTTGAATCGTCTAAAAATTTGTTTTCACTTTTTCACGTAAAGTCCGCCTGGATGCGCACTGTACCCTTGGTTCATGGTTTTCCTCCTGAAAGAACTTTCCTATACACTCTCATAGCTTCAAAAACCTGCTAAAACATATCCATGTTTAATCTTCTTAACCATATAGTAAAAACATTCCGATAAAGTATTTTTTTTATGAAATTCTTTCGCTGAAAATTCGCAGTACCGTAATTAACATTAACAGGTTTCCGTTTGTTCAAATTTTAGAAATGCAGAAATCTATTATCTATCTACGAATGTACTACTATTTCGGCAAAACTTGCTCTGACAGCGGGTTATCGAAAAGTTCCATATAAGCGTCAGTCTTTGCTCGATAGGCTGCTGCTTTTCGCTTATAATCACTCGCTCGACCAATATGAAAATTGCCACTCTTGTCTGTCTCACGAAGAATTAATTTTGCTCTTTTTAACTTTCGTCGAATAGATTTGACTAACACTAACTCTTGTCGGGCACGTCTGGCATCGGCGAACGATAATTGTGCTAGATAGCGACGATTGAGACGAGCCGTTAGTCGAGTAGAAAACTGTTTGATGATCGGTGCATTACGTGGTATATGATGATAACGAACAAGATGAGGCACGATTTTACTCATGAGAATATCATGTTCGCGTCGAACTTGTTCTTTTCGCTGACGAATAGGACGGAACCAACTTTGATTTGGTCGAATGTAACTTGGTCCTAAATGAAACATAACAATGGATAAAGGTTTCATTCAACAATATCGTGTCCTACCACGGGACAAATAGGCGAGTTCAGTATGACTGAGTGGTATGGTCAATGTGTCAGTGATGACTTGTGGAGAAACGCCAATAGTAGTTTTTGCTGAAGAAGAACGCTTAGCTTGACGGTTTAATCATATTCGAAAGGCCTGCATATTCGATTTGATATTGCCAAGCATCTTCTCCATTCGAGAACTCATATAACTTGTCAGCCAATTGATTAAAAATTTCGATGAAATCTGTTCCATTATTATAAAGTGCTCTTTATATTGATGCTCGTAATCTTGGATAGCGCTTTCGAATTTCTTCATATCATTTTGTAACATGGTGCGTTTCTATTGTTGTATCATTTTCTTGCGTTTATTGATCAGTTCTACTCGCTTGTTATCATCCAAGTTTGGTGATTCAAGATTTGGCAATGGTATATCATTGTCTACATGATCATATGCATTCGGTAAGAATTGACAGAAGATACGTTCCTCGAACATGTATAATTCCTCCAGAACTTGACTTTGTTTTTCACGAATCTCGATCATTCGATGTATTGTTTCTTTCTAAATATACTCATTCATTGTAAGATATCGAGGTCTCTGTTGGATTTTTCTATACTTGAGTGACTGTGAGCTCTTGCGACATCAAGTCTTTGACTGCCAGCTTGTCTTGAACACCATCTTTGAACTTTGTCAATCGAATGTTCATTATATTTGAATATTGTTTGCGATGCAAAGCCACAAATTCTTTTAGTGGGTCATCCACTACATCTAAGGAAAGTGATGGTGGACGGGACAAGCCTTGTTCTGTCAATTGTGCCTGACATTGATCCAATTTCTTTTCAATCTCGCGAAGATGCTCATTGATCATTGATTTGATCACTTCATGTTCGTTTGTGTGTGCCATAGTTAGGGCTTCATCGTATGTATAAGAGAAAAGTGTTGTTAGTGTTTAGCAGCTTCAGTTTTCTATAACTCACTGGCCATATCTGTTGCTCTGAGCCGATATCAAAATAGTTTTGCCATAATAATCGATCTAAATCCAAGCAGTATTGTTGATTGAACAGTGTCAGTCGTGAATGAATAAACTTGTATTCTTTGTTTTTCTTCAAAGGATGATCCAGTTGAAGACTCAAAGCTTGATGTAGTAGCTTGCGAGGCATTTTCAGATATTTAGATGACCTGATTTAAAGAAAAGGAATTATGTCAATGTGACATTGAGAATAGAATACATTGAGCATACCTGCCGAAAGAGTTGTTTGTATTCATCACGATCGCCATCTGTTTCTTCTTCTTTTTGTTCTTCTTCTTCTTCTTCTTTGCCATTTGTACAAACGTAAAGTGACGGATCTGCGGTACTTACGAGAGTTTGACCAGTACTGTCTTCATTGAGATTATCACTGTTCATCTTTAATATCTGAAATAAACAAACATAAAAAAGAACAAATGAGTAAAATAATGAAAAGAACAAGTGTTGTGGTTTAAAGATCAATCGAGGAAGGGCGACGTATCAAGTCTTCACACCAATGACCACGAACAGAATAAAATTGAAAGAACTGCTGATTGATCAACCGACCAGTCATATTTAATTTACATTCGGTATAGGTGATAAAGAGTGATTCGATGAACTTTCTCGTTGTTTTAGTACAATCATCCGGAAGCACGGCAACAATCGTAGTATTGTACAAATCAACATTGTATGATGTGTCCGAATCAAGATCGATACTATATTTGAAGAATGATTGTTGTTCTTGCCATTGTTGATGATTGAAAGTATAACCATAGGGTGATGTAGGAACACTATTGGCAAGGTGTTCTGCTAAGCGGTTATTTCGTGTTTGATTCGGCGGCACTAATGATCGAACGGAGCTTGTGTTAATGGAATTATTCAAAGTAGTTGTATCTTTTGGAATTGGGACTAGACACCAATATGCTGCATTGAAATCGAGAAAAATTTGTATCGCTTCTGGACATCGAGCCAAATGTAGATAGAGCCAATTCTCATCATTGGCTCTCATCTCATCCGATTTTGGTTCGATCAGAGTATTGTTGACATTTCTCTCACCAATGAGAAATTCACGAATGATCCGATGTGATTCTCGGCGATGATAAAATTTGATTTACTCCTAAACATCTTACAGTCAGATAGACCTCTTGTTGTTGCTGTAACAGAAACCTGGCTTAGTCGAAACATAGACAATTCAAAATTTTTAGTTTCAGGCTATCAACCCGTAATT